CATACATTTGTTTAATAAGCCAACCGCTGCCGCCACCCGCAACCGCTCCTAGTCCGTCTCCGTGGCCAAGCACTTACAATGACCAGTTCGAAAAATAACTATATTTGTCTAGTTTGTGTTTTGTAAAATGTCCAATCAAATGAAACTACACAATTCCAGAAAATAACATTTATATATTCATAACCGTTACGGAACATAAAACCTAAAATATATTTTTTAAACTAAATATTTTCTTATCTCTAAAATAAAAATTCTTCTTGTTTTATACACCACACAATAATACTACATACGAACTGTGATGTCGTTAACCTGATCTATAAATAATAAATGCGTCTTCGAATCCTGGTGGGGCAAATGTTTGTGTGATGAATACGAGCATTTGTCCATTTATTTCTTATTTATTCATTTATTTTTTTACCATTCACAGGACCGACACACTGGATCTAGAAAAACAAACAGCAACACCTGCTACGTTACATTTTTATAATTTATACTGGCTGACCCAAGGGCGGATCCAGCTTTGGCGCCAGGGGAGGGGGGGTCATAAAGTCGTGGTATATTAAATATTGATAGTACTTAAATAAAATCGCCCTGGGTTTGGTCCATCTGTACCCAGCCCAGGGGGGGTCATGACCCCCATGACCCCCCCCCCCCCTGGATCCGCCCTTGGGCTGACCCGGCGAACTTTGTACCACCATATTTTATATTTGGTACAAAGCTTATATCTATTTATAAAGGCCTCTGTCAATGTTTTGTTAATATATTGAAGATTTTTCATAGTCTTCTGTCTCATCCACTCACTTACTTATTTTTTATATTAATTATTTTTTATTAATCAGTTTTATTACCTACCTATGTAAATAAACCTTGCCCTGACAATAACAACACCAAAAACCAACAAAGTGAGAGTCGGATTGGGCACAAAGGGTTTCGTGTTCCGTACTATTATCTAAACAACATCTTTTATCTAGCAAATTAAATATTTATTTATTTTATTTTTAGTATTTGTTGTTTTATCATCTGTGAAAATCACAACTGTATAACTATCACGGTTCATGTGATACAGCCTGGTGACATACATTTCAGGGATTCATTTTTTATTTATAGAGATATTATACTTAACTGTACTATTATATGTAGTCAATCAACCTATCTTGCCATTTTGCGACCTAGTCATTGTAAGATGTGGTCAAATAAATATGTAGTCATTTTACGATCTAGTCATTATTTCATGTGGTCAAATAAAGATCTAGTCATTTTGCGATCTTAGGCATTATGCGATGGAATTAATCAAAGATCTAGAAGAAATGATATGTAGTCATTTTGCGATATAGTCATTAATAGAGACAGACAATCTGAGAACGACCACTTTGGAGCTCGGTTACTTGGTATGAATGTAAAAAAAATAATACAAATCCACTAAATACCTATTAAATTACTGTGGTATCCGGCTGATGATTTGTTCCAATAATGAATCCAGTTTGAGGTTGCGATTCAACCACACGTAGCATGTAGGCTAAGAAGCTGACGTAAGTTTGCTGTGTACAGCCACCATCCAATCCAAGGCCACAGGTGGGGTCCTAAGTTATTAGATAATGTAGATAATTACTTACGGTCAAACACTTTCAATTCGTTCTCCACCTTATACCCAATTACCTAGATATTTTCTTTTTTAATTGTCAATATGTCTCGTTTTTGTTACCTATATCTTATTTCGCTCCATAAACTATAATTTTCTTAAATGTTGTGCAATAGACATAGTATCTAGTATTTATGAAATGTCTACATTTAATAATAATTATATGAATATTAACAATTATCACTAGTGTCAAACAGTATTAACCATAATTATTCTTGTAGTTAGTGGATAGATTGATGCAAACACTTCTGAATGTTAGTTTATTGAATATGCTGTAACAAACTTACCATTTTGTTTCTTCAGATATAGTTAAGTAGAAATATAATGGATGTATATTTTTATGTAAAGAATATCTCCACTGGCTTATATAAATTTATAATTGCATGCACTGTCAAATTACCAAATAACTATCAAGATATATTACTTCATCGCTACATATAGTAGTTGCAGTAGTTGTTCGAAATAAATAAAAAATATCAAAATTATCGTTTATCATTTATTTGTTCCAGAAACCAAATCACAAGTTTGTTGAAGCGGTTACAAAGTCCTTTATATAAAGGCAAATCTTTGGCGTCTGTAATCTTTTAGAGTTCGACATCCACTCACTTACTTATTTTTTATATTAATTATTTTTTATTAATCAGTTTTATTACCTACCTATGTAAATAAACCTTGCCCTGACAATAACAACACCAAAAACCAACAAAGTGAGAGTCGGATTGGGCACAAAGGGTTTCGTGTTCCGTACTATTATCTAAACAACATCTTTTATCTAGCAAATTAAATATTTATTTATTTTATTTTTAGTATTTGTTGTTTTATCATCTGTGAAAATCACAACTGTATAACTATCACGGTTCATGTGATACAGCCTGGTGACATACATTTCAGGGATTCATTTTTTATTTATAGAGATATTATACTTAACTGTACTATTATATGTAGTCAATCAACCTATCTTGCCATTTTGCGACCTAGTCATTGTAAGATGTGGTCAAATAAATATGTAGTCATTTTACGATCTAGTCATTATTTCATGTGGTCAAATAAAGATCTAGTCATTTTGCGATCTTAGGCATTATGCGATGGAATTAATCAAAGATCTAGAAGAAATGATATGTAGTCATTTTGCGATATAGTCATTAATAGAGACAGACAATCTGAGAACAACCACTTTGGAGCTCGGTTACTTGGTATGAATGTAAAAAAAATAATACAAATCCACTAAATACCTATTAAATTACTGTGGTATCCGGCTGATGATTTGTTCCAATAATGAATCCAGTTTGAGGTTGCGATTCAACCACACGTAGCATGTAGGCTAAGAAGCTGACGTAAGTTTGCTGTGTACAGCCACCATCCAATCCAAGGCCACAAGTGGGGTCCTAAGTTATTAGATAATGTAGATAATTACTTACGGTCAAACACTTTCAATTCGTTCTCCACCTTATACCCAATTACCTAGATATTTTCTTTTTTAATTGTCAATATGTCTCGTTTTTGTTACCTATATCTTATTTCGCTCCATAAACTATAATTTTCTTAAATGTTGTGCAATAGACATAGTATCTAGTATTTATGAAATGTCTACATTTAATAATAATTATATGAATATTAACAATTATCACTAGTGTCAAACAGTATTAACCATAATTATTCTTGTAGTTAGTGGATAGATTGATGCAAACACTTCTGAATGTTAGTTTATTGAATATGCTGTAACAAACTTACCATTTTGTTTCTTCAGATATAGTTAAGTAGAAATATAATGGATGTATATTTTTATGTAAAGAATATCTCCACTGGCTTATATAAATTTATAATTGCATGCACTGTCAAATTACCAAATAACTATCAAGATATATTACTTCATCGCTACATATAGTAGTTGCAGTAGTTGTTCGAAATAAATAAAAAATATCAAAATTATCGTTTATCATTTATTTGTTCCAGAAACCAAATCACAAGTTTGTTGAAGCGGTTACAAAGTCCTTTATATAAAGGCAAATCTTTGGCGTCTGTAATCTTTCAGAGTTCGACATCCACTCACTTACTTATTTTTTATATCATTTATTTTTTATTAATCAGTTTTATTACCTACCTATGTAAATAAACCTTGCCCTGACAATAACAACACCAAAAACCAACAAAGTGAGAGTCGGATTGGGCACAAAGGGTTTCGTGTTCCGTACTATTATCTAAACAACATCTTTTATCTAGCAAATTAAATATTTATTTATTTTATTTTTAGTATTTGTTGTTTTATCATATGTGAAAATCACAACTGCCTAACTATCACGGTTCATGTGATACAGCCTGGTGACATACATTTCAGGGATTCATTTTTTATTTATAGAGATATTATACTTAACTGTACTATTATATGTAGTCAATCAACCTATCTTGCCATTTTGCGACCTAGTCATTGTAAGATGTGGTCAAATAAATATGTAGTCATTTTACGATCTAGTCATTATTTCATGTGGTCAAATAAAGATCTAGTCATTTTGCGATCTTAGGCATTATGCGATGGAATTAATCAAAGATCTAGAAGAAATGATATGTAGTCATTTTGCGATATAGTCATTAATAGAGACAGACAATCTGAGAACAACCACTTTGGAGCTCGGTTACTTGGTATGAATGTAAAAAAAATAATACAAATCCACTAAATACCTATTAAATTACTGTGGTATCCGGCTGATGATTTGTTCCAATAATGAATCCAGTTTGAGGTTGCGATTCAACCACACGTAGCATGTAGGCTAAGAAGCTGACGTAAGTTTGCTGTGTACAGCCACCATCCAATCCAAGGCCACAAGTGGGGTCCTAAGTTATTAGATAATGTAGATAATTACTTACGGTCAAACACTTTCAATTCGTTCTCCACCTTATACCCAATTACCTAGATATTTTCTTTTTTAATTGTCAATATGTCTCGTTTTTGTTACCTATATCTTATTTCGCTCCATAAACTATAATTTTCTTAAATGTTGTGCAATAGACATAGTATCTAGTATTTATGAAATGTCTACATTTAATAATAATTATATGAATATTAACAATTATCACTAGTGTCAAACAGTATTAACCATAATTATTCTTGTAGTTAGTGGATAGATTGATGCAAACACTTCTGAATGTTAGTTTATTGAATATGCTGTAACAAACTTACCATTTTGTTTCTTCAGATATAGTTAAGTAGAAATATAATGGATGTATATTTTTATGTAAAGAATATCTCCACTGGCTTATATAAATTTATAATTGCATGCACTGTCAAATTACCAAATAACTATCAAGATATATTACTTCATCGCTACATATAGTAGTTGCAGTAGTTGTTCGAAATAAATAAAAAATATCAAAATTATCGTTTATCATTTATTTGTTCCAGAAACCAAATCACAAGTTTGTTGAAGCGGTTACAAAGTCCTTTATATAAAGGCAAATCTTTGGCGTCTGTAATCTTTCAGAGTTCGACGGGGACACATGTCAATTTGACTTTTTCGGACGTACAATATATGACAAAATGCAAATTTTTGTGCGCTCTTCTAATTATTTTTCCGCAACAACACTAACACTCCCCTTTCATTACATTAAAATTATAATGAACACCATTTCGTCGAGCTGCAAAAAGGGTAATCGACAAACAGACAAACTTTACTACTTTTCATTATACTGTTATGATCTTTAAGTGTACAGATCCAGGCACCTGTGTTGCCATATACAAAAAAATTACAGTGTATTGAGCGATGCAAACTTTGTGCCCGATCTGTTGTTGTCGGTACGTACAATCGTAGAGTTGCCATATTACAAATGAAATGCTATCCTTTTACCTAAACGGGCAACACTGGAGTTACATTGAGCCCACATATTATTAAGTGAATGCGGAGCGCCAGTCGTATGTACGCTTCGATACATATTAAAATTACAATATAAACGATTACAAACAATACAATATTTTGTTCATAAAACTGAGTTCATTTCACTAATTACATACTTATAGAGTAAGATGACTACATTTTGAATTAAACATAAAATTATTATAATAAGGACACCAACTAAAAGATAAATAACCTCATTAGTATCTAAAAAAGATCAGAAGCAAACCAGAATTAGTATTTATTTAATATTTTTCACTGTTACTTGTACCGAGTATATACTGGGCTAAAGCAAATAGTTGTAATCTGAGCCGCTACTGATCCTTTTTAAATAAAACGACCGATTCATTATTACGAAATCAGCTAAACGATACATTTTACCTTAATATTATCGTCGATACAGAATCGTCAAAACAACAATGATAATCTTAAATTACAGAAATTATGACGTACAATTAAATAACAAAAAACATATGTACAATTTAGCAATAAATAATTACAAAAAGAAGGTTATAAATAAAGGAATCTAGTGATTTTGTAAACAAAAAATAATAATAATAATAAATTCAATTTCGAAAATTAAAATAAACGTTCAGAACTTTTGGAATGGAAAACTGACGGACTTTGTAATTAATAAATCGTATCGGTTACGCGTATATTTAATATATATATATAAATTAGCTAATATATTTAAAATTTAGATATATAAATCACTTGAATGACTATCGCGACATATTAGACTCTATTGCAGTTATATCAAAAAACGTTTTCCAAAAAAAAAAGGAAAACAAAAATATTATACCATAACACAAAAACAACTTTGTAATAAAACATCAAAAGTAGGTATGTATATTTCTTGTATATTACTAACACATTACTATACGTTATTGCAGGCTAAATCTAGTTGCCAAATACTAAAATGAACTGCAAACCAGTTCTTGGTTACGGTCGGCCAAATTGATGGTTTGCTACCCTACAGTTTAATTTGATTTGCAATTTTAAATGCAAGGTTTTTTTTCCCATGCAATAACATGCTGTCAAATGGCCTTACACTCTTTTTTTTTTTCAAACATAGAACTCGTCTATTTTGTTTACACTTAGTATTTTTTTCAAGTATTAGACTACTGTCCTGTCCGACATTACACTTGTCCACATTGATAAACAAATAAAAACTTCATTACATTTTACATTTTTCATGCCCAAAGCATCTTTGTCCGGTAGTTTAAATTTGTAAACATAGGGCAACATTACTAAATATGAAAATGTCAGTTCAGTTCGATAATTTTTATGGATCAATAGAGAAAAAAATCTACAGACTGTCATTATTATTGCTTTATATTTATTTTATATTGCTTTATATAGAGAAGTAGAACCACGCAACTGTCATATTTCGGACTAGCATAAACTAACTTGTAATGTCCAATTATAGTTATTAAAACATAAAATAAACAAAACATTTCTTTCTTTCTAATCAAAAGTATAATTTAAAGACAGATACGAGAAGATATCATTTGATTGGTAGGTACAGACAATAAGATATATTAACAATTTATTGTTACTATTCTGAGAAAAAAATATCTAAATGTTACCTGCTGCTGTCTGTACTTTAGTAATAAATAAAAATGAATGATATTTCAACGTAATGCTGAGATTAAATTTCAACACTTTAAAAAAAGTCAAAAACATCAACACATTAAATGCAATACGTTATTCATTAAAGAGATAATTATTTTAACACTATGTATTATTACCGTACTGTAATACATTTACATACGCGCTAACATTAAAAATTACAATGATCTTAATAATCACAACAATATAATTGTGTATTATAAAAACTTTACAAGATGTCCAATATTAGTAGTACCTAACAAAACGCAATTCCAAAGAGGCGTGCGCAGCCACCGAGTTTTGTGAATGGCGCAAAATCAACGTCACTACCGAGCAAAGGAGATTTTAATATATGAAAAAAAGAAATTTTACTATCATCGATACTAGAATTAGTTTTGAGCCAACTGTCGGGACATTAAATGAGATAAAAAAAAGGGAATACCATTTCAAATTCATTACAGCCCATTTTTTTCACAACACCTCGTGTTCTGCTATTTATCGCAGCGACAGGTAAGTTTAAAAAAAAGTCATTAAAGTCAATTATATCATCAATCAGACTTAAATCAGTCTTCGTTTGATTGTCGAAATGGGATAAGTAAACAGTTTTTTTTTCTATTAAAAACAAGCAAAGTTTATTACGCTACACAAATTACATTTTAGTGTTTTACAGTCTTAATTATAATCAATATTTCGGTTAGTATTCGATAGGTTTGGTGTTCAATTTACAGGGCCGGATTTAGGATTGTGGAGGCCCCGGGCCACTTAGGATTTGAATTCTTGTTAACCCATCGAAATGTTGTTGTGGAGGCCCCTGGGGCCCTTGAGGGAGGCCTCAAGATGGGTAGTGAATTGGAAGTGCTTATCAGGGCCATTTGAGATTTTGATATTTCACTGATTGCCTGATTGGAGTGAACAAATATAGATCTATGATTTCTGATATTTAAGTTTAATATAATCAAATAATCATGTATGTTAGATGTACAAAGTACTGTAGGCTGTAGGTAAAGGTAAAAGAGTAAAAAAAATATCAAAGGAAAAGATGTTTACTAGTTGGAATTTGAACATTCCGATTTTCCAAATCTCTATTGTGGGGGCCCCCCGTTTGTGGAGGCCCCGGGGCTTTCGCCCCTGTTGCCCTCCCCTAAATCTGGCAGTGTCAATTTATACTAACTTTCGGTACTTTACTAAATGTCAAAGTGCAGTTACAAAAAAATAATTGATTTTTAAAGAGACAATAAGAATATACACTACTCAATATCGACAACATAACGAAGTCTCTTTACGGGGGAGAAAAACCGAACACAATTCAATATTATTGTAAACAGATATTTTATCGCGATTACGCACAATCTTAAATATTATTTTTAAAAAGCTCGTCAAATTAAACAATATTTCAGTGTGAAATTTTGTCTTCAAATTCAACCTCATTTAGTTTAAAAAAAAGGATCAAATACAATGGCTTTCTATTCTTGAAAGGCGATAAAGAAATTAAAGAATAATATATCACGACTACGCTTAGTACAATAATTTACATGTTAAAAACTAGTTGCACTTTGACATGTTAAATGCAACGACTCACATGTTATGTTTCATTCGTTTTCGACTAATGTAAATGTAACTAATAAATTGTATTGTAAGGAGGACTCGCTAGTTGTTCGGGTTAACATGTCGATTTACATGTTATATGCGATGTAGATGGCGTCGATTTGGTCAGATAGGAATCCGTCGCGGAGGTGCATGCGTTGTTTTTCACCGCGCGAGTTGATTGGCACCACACCTGGGTCCACTACAACGACTACTCCGACGATCAGGTGGTGCTCCTCTAGGACTGTGTTGGTGACCAGAGGGACAAGGTTTAGGGCTTCGCTGTCGTTCCCGTCAAGTTCCACTACGACCACCAGGAGGTTCGTCCATGTGAATACAGCGCTGTGCAGACAATGTTTTGGGGGTTAGAAATTTGTTATCGTGCCTGGACATTGGTGTCAATTCTTCTCTAAGCCAAAAATTTATTTGACAACAGTGTATCCTTGTCATTCACTATAAAGAATGAAAAGAAGAGACTGCTCTTAAATTAAGTTTAGGGAATCGTGCCAGATTCGACATTGTTAATCTAAATTTTAGAACAGTATTAATAAATGGTCGAAGTAAATTAAATTAAATATGACATGGATGAATCTATGCATAATTAAAATGTTAAAAATATTTTAGGTAGTAAAATTCATTAATATTTTGTGGGGGTATAGATTAATTAATAACCATTATTCTGGACTGAGTTTCAGTTATCTATGTCAAACTGAATAATTGCATTAATAGAAATTTCCAAAGTTTTGATAAAGCATTCATAAAATCTGAGGAACAAATAACAATGCCACAGACTAAGAGAGTAGAAAAAAAGAACGGGGTGTTGCACTCACCATTCAGCTATCTTTTTGTGGCACCTCATGACGGAGTTCTCTATGTCGATGGGGTGATATCTCATGCCTCTTAGCATAATAGTTTCGTCTAGAGCTCCCACTACGAACACCGCGTCGTGCGTATCGTGAGTATCTGACACCGCACCCATGCTGCCGCAAGCTGAGGCCAGCGACTCCGTGTCACTATCCCGAGCCATCAGAGAAGTCTCGTCCCCACTCGTATTCACCGCAGTGATCTCTGTTCTCCTCAAAAATCCTAAGTACCCCGTCCGAGCATACACTTCTCCAGTATTGCCCGTCACCAGTTGAGCGCTAAAATGATCAGCGTAGTCGCTCTCATCACCGTAAATAGTAAAATACCCGCTCGCGTTGTGCGGTGATTGCACCCAAATCTCGCCTAAATGCGAATCTCCGCATTGGCCTTTCGTTTCTGGATTAGCTGTGATAACTTTTACTCCGGGTAAGAGTTTTCCAGATTCCATCAGGCATAAGGAATGCGGACTCCCACGTTCCACCAGTGAAACTCGGTCGTTCCGCAGAGCTCTCAGGTCTACGTAGACCGTAGATGGCTCGGGACTAGAAGCGCCTTGTAAGCATATGGCTATATTCACACGACAACCGAACGAGGTAGACACAGCACGAGGACTTAGGCCAAGCGCCGAAAATAGTTTGGAGAACGAATTCGTCAAATTGATACGCGGTCGCTCTTCAGCGACCACTACACAAGTTCTTACGCAAGCCAAGTTGATCCCCTTAGATTTCAATTGGTTTACAGAGCTTCCTAATCCTTTAGTGCATAACTCCATCACTCCGTAGGAACAAAACGTATCGCGTACTTTGTATTGAGAGACAGCACTTAACCAAAGAGCGGGGTTGATTTCGACCTCGGAAGGTGGTATAAGGATAGAATGGTGTCCTGAGTAAATGCTACTTAAACACCAGAGAGCAAATCCTAGGCCACAATAGGGGTCAAGACATAGGGCTATGTGCCTGGATGGATACAATTCACAAGCTATTTTCATAGAGCGACACAGTGATGTGACGGCAGCGTGCGACATTTTAATGCCTGCTAACATTCCGGTGGTAGATACGCTGAAATCTAAATATGCAAGCATCTCTGCTGTGGGTGCTCTGTAGAGGATTGGTAGTTTCTTTTTCGGCATGTCGTCAGTGTCCAGGGTTATGGGCCACGCTTTACTGTCTAGTACGTTGCTAGCTTCCTTAGAACGGAGAAGTTTTATCACAGATTGGTTTGAGAGGACTAGTGTGGCTTTGCTGACATCGACGATCATTCGTACTGTTGGTAACGTAGTGTGAAGGTTTTGTGGATGTGGAGGCCGAATGGTAACGGGAACAGCGCCGACGTACAGGCAACCATAGAAAGCGCAAATGAGATCTAGCCCAGGTGGGAATATTAGTGCCACGTGGTCCCCTGTATTGACACGACCCTTCTCCAATAGTAAGTTTCCGATTCTTTCAGCTTTTTTATGCAACTCTGCGCATGTCAGCACTTTGGCAACGGCCCCCTTTGAGTTGAGCAAAGTGAATATAACATGGTCTGATGTGCTTTGTGCTCGCCATCTTAGGATTTGAGATATAAATTGATACTGAAAAGAAATACAGAATGTTAATAGCCGCAAAAGTGTGATTTAGTTGTGATATATCTTATATAGTGTTGAGAAAGACTGGTAGTAAAATGGTTTTAACTGAAAATGTAGTGAAAATATGTGAATTTTACAAAAGGCGTCAGACTCTAAAGAACTGGGGTAACTTTTGATCAAATCTAAAAAAATGTGTTTGGATTGTAAAAATTTGTAGTGAAGATCGAAATGTGGCAGAAATGTATGGTTTAACATAAAAGTTTATAAATGTATGTATGTCTTTTTTATTTATAATTTTACAGGAATATGACTTACCTTTCTCGCAGCGTCAGAATCGTCGGTATATCCCATGTCACGTCCTTGTGCAGACGCTAATCGATTACCTTGCACTAAGTTGCCAACTATTACTGAGGCTGGGCCAACATCTAAAAAAATAGCTTATCATTTACAAGAGACAGATTATTCATTGAGTCATGATCATATTTACAATTTTTGATCAAATCCTAAGCACATGTCTAAGAATACATAAGTTTAAACTGAAAGAAAATTTTATCTATAATATAAAAATGAATCGCTAAATGTGTTGCTAAGCGCAAATCTCGAGAACAGCTGAACCGATTTCTATATATATTTTTTTTAGAATATTCCTTGAAGTACGAGGATGGTTCTTACGCAGAGAAAAATTAAAAAAACAAATGCCTGAAAATGTCAAAAACAACGCTTTTCAATACTCCCATACAAATAATTCGTAATAATACTTAAAAGTCAATTTGAACTAATACCATACCATAAATTTTAAATGTTGCTGAAGTGATTCGGGAAGGCATAACAATTGAGTAATGTGAATAAAATAATAAAGAATCAATAGAAGTTTGAAAAAGGCAAATATATCATTTTCAGTTTTTTTTATAATTATGAGGAGTCATTTATTTAGACACTACAGCTTTACACCGAAGCGAAGCGAGGGCGGGCCACTAGTATCAAAATAAAAATATGGGGATTAAAGCAATAATGTTGTGTAGAGATGTGTCAATATGATTTTTATTTTAGTTTTTCATATGAAATTGTAGTTCCTGTTATGTGTATGCTATGAGCCTTACCAGAATGGATTTCCCTCGGTTTCGGTAGATTCGTAACACAAGTGTGTGGGCACATAAGCACGTTGGCTGGATGTAGAGTGCCTTCTAAGAATCGCCTCTTGCACTCGCTAAGGTGAATCCCTCCTAAAGGCGTTTTGGGTAAGTAGTTGGGTTGGACTAACGCCAGACAGTAGATGCCTACTTGGTGGATAGAGTCCACCGCTTGTAGGACTCGCGACATCCATTGGAAAGACTGTTGGCAAAAGTAGGAAAAGTTTTAGTCACATTTATTTATTTATTTAATATGTCATAATAATTGACTTTAAATGAAGACTCGCTTAAACTTAGCTGATTTTTATGAAAACCAAACATATATTTTCATTTGCAAAGTTTAACAGAAATTGAATAGATTAACCAAAGCAAAAGAATGCTATCATTTCTAAGAAGCATGCAAATAAAATTTAGTTCAAGAAATTCTGCTCCAATATTTGCTAGATTGTTAAACGTTTCGTTGTTTATAAAAAACATATCAATTATATTTTTCTCATAAAACTTCTTTCTTTTGGTAATAAAATAGGGCCAGATTGACAACGAGGAGGCTTATTAAACATATGTGGGGGCGAAAATAATTATTTGACATTTGTAATTTTATAATTTTTATCAGCTTGACCAACAGTCTCGACATCTAAGTTTATAAAATTAGTTTTCATAAAGCCATAATAAGCATGCTATAAGCACCAAAGCCATGCTATAACTTTTTGTTGAACAACAGTTGATATATAATTTTTGATTTATTAGCGACAATATTACTTGGAAACTATGTTGTATTCAACTCTGCAACGGGTGCCCTTTCTATGGCAGAATCACTTGGCATAATCTTCCTTAAACGAATATTGGTAAGGCGTATTTTTCACATAATATATATATATTTTTTTATGTTTAGGGGGCATACGAGAAGACGGCTCACCTGATGGTAAGTGATCACCGTCGCCCGTGGACACTTGTAACACCAGGAGTACCACAAATGCGATGCCGGCCTTTAAGGAAGGACTACGCTCTTTTTTTGAAGGTTCTTGGGTCGTATTAATTATTAATTGGCCAAGTGTTTTTAGTCCAAATTAACAATATAATATTTTTTAAGATGGTAGAATTTTATTAGGCATAATTACATTTTGGCAAAATTTTAATCTGCATAATTTCGTTTAGCATAAGTGTGTTAGGTTAGGTTAGTTTTGTGAACGAACCTGAGCAAGCCATCTGATAAATCTAATATATACAATTCTCGTGTCACGGTGTGCGTAATTGAACTACTCCGAAACGGCTCGACCGATTTTCGTGAAATTTTATATGCCTTTTCAGTAGGTCTGAGAATCGGTCAACATCTATTTTTCATCCCCCTAAATGTAAAGGGTGGTCAAGTCAACCCAAAAAAAAAATTTTGTAGATTTTTTTTTTGTTTTTTATGATACATCATACAAAAATACATACATCCCTAAATTTTCACACATCTGCCACCAACCATTTGCGCTGGGACAGCTAGTAATAAAGCTAAGGAAAATTTAAATATTTGTATGCCGAACGACGAATCTGACTGAATTTTCTCCCGATATCATGGTTCTGCTTCTGAATTTTGTGGATAGTAAATGTATACCTAAAGCTGATTCTGACTTGCAAAATTATGCGTTTGAATGTCTCCATTCGCTGTTTTACTCCATTCGCACTCACAACCGCACACTTCGAAAAAACAATGAGCGTACAGAGATCGCCGCCTGCTACGATATTGATAAGCGGTAGCGTGAGCGCCAGCGGTTCCACGCCGAACCTGTCTTCGTACGGGGATGATGACCCACATATAAATATTAACTTAAGAAAACGCAAAGAACGTACAGAAATACAAGATTATAAAAATGATTTCTCAAATTTCCGCACAGAAATAATGTCGTTCCTGGAAACTTTCGGTAAGACACAAAATGATAACCTAAGTCAAATAAAAAACGAAATGTTTGAAATTAAAAACGAGATTAGAACAATCAAGTCGGCGACAGATAATCTTACACAAAAACTAAAACAAATCGACAATGAAATAGAAAACATTCAATTGAACCATACTATAACTCAAGAAAAAATTAAAAATATCGAAGAAGATCTATCTCAGATGATGAAGAATCACTGTAACGAAAATTCCTTGATAAAATCGCTCGCTCCTGAACACGAAAATCTCATTCTTGAATTAAAGGACCGCTGCGAACGAGAAAAAAATATTGTGATTGTCGGTGTAACGGAAAAAAATGATAAAAATTCCAACTCGAGACGAATTTACGACGAAGAGGAAGTTATCAAACTAATATCATTATTGTACGAAGATTGTCCAAAACCAATAAAAACAATAAGGTTGGGTAAATATATGCCAGATAAAAACCGACCTTTAAAAGTCTGCTTTGCCAGTTCTGAACCAACAAAATATTTACTGCGAAATAAAATAAAACTGCCTACAAATATACAAATGTACTCCGATCAAACTCCGAAACAGAGGCGATTTTTACTTAATTTAAAAGAAGAGTTGCAACAACGATTGGATAATGGTGAAAAAAACCTTATAATTAAATATAAAAAAGGAATACCAACAATCACAATTAATGAAAACAACCAAAAAAACACGTAGAAGCGGCAGTACAAAATGAAAAATGTTGTAATAAAATAAATAGATTAAGCCACCATTTAGTAAAAACGTATGCGGACATTACTTTTATACCCTCGTCTTTACGATTTTTTTATGCTAACTCGCGTAGCATTCGCAACAAATTCGATGAAATAAAATGCATATTGAAGGCAATACCGACAACTATACATATACTGATATTTACCGAGACATGGATTCAGTCGGAAAGTGATGCAAACTTATATAGATTACCAAACTATGCACATGTATACAACTATAGGCAAGATCGTGAGGGCGGTGGCGTGTCTATTTATATTCACAACAGTATAAAATATGAAGTGACTGAGGAATTGTCAGATGATGGGAACCATTATTTGTGGATCTACATTGACAAATTGTGTTTAAACATTGGCGCTATTTATAAACCTGGTAATACAAACCTAAACGCTTTTTTAGAGAAATATTCTTTGCAATTAGAGCGGCGAAAAAGATCAGTTATTTTCGGTGATTTCAATATAGATTTACTCAGCGCGGACCAACAAATGAACAAGTATGTGAGCGAAACAAAAGAAACCGGATATGAAATAATAAATAAAATTGATAAAAATTACTGCACTCGTGAAACTAGCACCACAAAGACAATATTGGACCATGTTTGTACGGACATAAAAAATCACACATTTAACATGTCGATAATAGAATCATCCCTTTCTGATCACAAACAGATTTTTGTTCAAATTGGTAGTTTGCCGCAGCAAGTGAATAAAAAAATATACTACCAGGCATTAGACTACGAGAAATTACACAGTACCGCCGTGAAGGCTGACTACATAAACGACACTAATGATTACAACTATCTAGAGAGTTTTATCACAGAACAGGTGTGTAAGAATAAAGTGGAAAAAACAAAATACATAAACCCACCCCAAGAAGACTGGGTATCGAAAGATATTATTGGCTTAATTAATTCACGTAATATCTTATGGCAACAAGCAGTAATGACCCCTAGAGATGAAAAAATCAAGAAAAACTTTATTCAGCTACAAAAACAAGTGAAGACCCTTATCAAGATACGAAAAGACAACTATTATCTCTCATTGTTTCACAAAAATCAATCAGATCCGAAGAAAATGTGGGAACTAATAAACAACTTAGCTTCAAACAAAATCAAGGCAGGTAGTGCTCCCTCAAAATTAATATCGGATACCGGACTTACTATAACTGAAGGTAAAGAAATCTGTAATTTGTTTAATTGTTTCTTTTCGACCATTGGTCCAAAATTAGCTGGACAGATACCGACCACTTATCACCAGAATACCGGGAATACACTTATGTTTAATAGTGATTACACACACAACTTAACACTTAACGAGCTCAAACCATGTAGCACAACTGAAATATGTAATATTATTGACAACCTAGATAGTAACACTAGTACTGGTCTGGATGGAATAAGCACAAAAGCAATCAAGTGCCTGAAGGACGTGATTGCCGATAGGTTAGCGAAATGTATCAACGAGTGCTTATTGCGCGGTGTTTTTCCCGATTCACTAAAAGTTGCTAAAGTTAGTCCCATTTATAAATCCGGAAGTAAAACAGACCCTAGTAATTACAGGCCGGTGTCTGTCCTTCCTGTCATTTCAAAAATTTTTGAACGTGTTTTGTATGACCGCCTAAACACTTATATAACAGATAAAAAATTACTAATTGAACAACAGTACGGCTTCCGTCCGAAATCGGGAACGCTGAATGCTGCTGTAGACCTAATTACAAAAATAAAAACCAACATTGATCAAAAGAACATAGCTTTAGGCATTTTCATCGACTTAAAAAAATGTTTTGATACAGTAAGCCATCAAAAATTACTACAAAAACTAAATAATATAGGTATTACTGGCGCCGCTCTTGATATGTTTTCATCATATTTAAGAAATCGTCATCAAATCGTAAAAATTGATAATTTCACTAGTTCTTCGTGTCACGTGACTTTCGGCATTCCTCAAGGGTCGATTATTGGCCCATTGCTTTTTTTAATTTACACAAATAATATCGCTAAAATAGGACTCAAAGGGCATATAACCTTGTATGCAGACGACACCTGCCTGTTTTATTTCGGGAAATCTATACACGACATTATACACACCGCGCAGCAAGATCTCGACATACTAAGTGAATGGTTAAAATTTAATTTACTAACTATCAATACGTCTAAAACATCCTTCACGATCTTTTGTTCTAAAAATAAACATTTACCAAATTTTACGCCACTAACTATAAATAGCGAATTAATACAACGATCTTATCGTGAAAAGTATCTTGGACTGTGGATAGATGACAAACTTACCTGGAAATGGCATATTGATCACCTTAAAATGAAATTAACTTCATTATTAGGAGCATTACGTAAGATAGCTAGCTGTATACCAAGTAAAGTTCGTAATATAATATACAATTCTCTAGTCAAATCACATTTGGAATATTTAATAGAAGTATGGGGGTCAGCCGCTGCAACTTACTTAAATCCACTACAAAGACTACAAAATAAAATTGTTAAGGTGCTATTTCGTTACCATTATTTAACGCCAACAAAAGAATTATACAAAAAGACTAATTTATTTAATCTTAAACAAATATATACATATTGCGCATGCGTCCTAATAAAAAATATAACTACAAATTCCATCCAAACCAATATCACATTACATAAAAAGATTTACAAGCATAATCTTAGAAACAAAAATAAACTTCAACTTTGTAAAGCACGAACTAATTACGGACAAAAAACGATATTATTTGAGGGAGTACAGATGTACAATGGGTTGCCAAGCGACATTGTGGAATGTGATAGCAAAGAAATGTTTAAAACTAAATTAAAAGAATACGTATAGTCACTGTAAGGAAAGTTTTATATTTCACTTCCGCCTAAGGAATAATCGAGTCGATTTAGTTTTATTTATATTTTTTAATAATATTATTGTTTTGTTATTTACATAAGAATAACATTGTGAATGCTCATAAGATCAAATAACTTACTATTGTTAACTTACTATTGTTGGCTTTGAACAATTAAGTCATAAAACAAGAAAGATTACTTTTTAAGGGTGTTGAACTTAAGTATTAGTATCAATTTTGTAACTGAAATATCCGATGTTCCAAAAGGAGCAATAAGTAATACACAACTGCATGTTATTTCTATATTCTCATTTTAAGTGGACTGTATGTCGTTATGGGAAATAAATTATCTTTGAACCTAATGTCTGATAAAAAAGAGTGAATGCCTAATGATTTTAAAGTTGCTGCCATCCCCTGCTATGCATAATAATATTAAAAGTTCTGTGATACAAACTAAACCCTCTGGTACACGCAGTGCTACCATCAATATGATAAAAGCTAGTCTACGACACTTTGATTCAACTTTGTTCATGTACTAATGTTCACTGTGAATACGGGGTTTAATACTACAAACAATCCGGACTCTAAATCTATATATACATATTAATTTTTCCGATTAAGGACCGATTACATAAAGTTTTTAAATTTCTCTAATACTTTGTAGAAGTTGCTTAGAAAAACGAAAATTAAAAAGGTGCGTAGAATTTTTACGTACAAGGAAGCAAGTACTTTGTGATATTTGATAAACCATGATAGAAAATCTGATTTAATACGGTATTTGACAGTATTAAAAATTAAGTGCCAATTGTTAGCATCTGTGTTTAGAATGAATATTGGCAGGGTTTTTTACAATTTATACAAAAAAAAAACATAATTTTACAAAAAACCCACGAAAAAGATAATAGTTTTCTTATCTATTGTCACGTGACCCAAAACGCTTGGGATTGGCGGAGCCTAAAATGAAGTCACACGCAAGTAAACTTCCGGTTAAAGTGACATTACATTGTATCGTTTGACATTTTAATAACAGTCGTGTGAAATCACACACTAGTAAGACGCCCTATTGTCCAGAAAATCGTTTTCGCGGCAATTTGAAAATGGAGTTTTTGATTTGGTTATTTTTACTGAAATACACAACTGAATGATGAATATCCACTTTTTACGGACTCCATAAACATTAGTCAATAACGTGAGATCATTTCTAACACTTGTCAAATACCCTATTGAAGGGCTATAGGCCGGCCAGGTATCCATTTATACGTACAGTATATAATATTATTATCATCAATTTTAATTACAGATAATGGATATCGTTGCAAAGCTGCTTTTGCAGAGAAAGCCCATTAATTGGTGTTCAACGTTGCAAGCAAACGTTATTGTGTCCATCAATACTAATTCCTGTTTCGACTAATCCTATAATGGGATATCATAGAATAATCTTAATTACAGTTTCACATCGCACTTAACGAGGAGCTCGATGGCGCAGGTTAGCGCGTTAGGCTGCGATCGTTGAAGTTAAGTAACTTTCGCAGTGGTCGGTCATTGGATGGGTGACCAAAAATCTTCTACCCCGAGTTCCTCCGTACTTCGGAAGGCACGTTAAGCCGTTGGTCCTGGCTGCATCTGCAGTCGTAAGCACCCAATCCACACTGGGCCCGCGTGGTTGGTCATGGCCCCATCTCCCTATTCCATCCATAGGGAAGGTCTGTGCCCCAGCATTGGGGACATTAATAAGCTGATGATGATTATCACACTTAACATGAATGAAATTAAGACTAATTTCTTTTTCTAAACAGTCGGGCCACTTGCTTTTGTCAAGTGTGAGTGATAACTAATAACGTTTGCCTAGGTTTGGTAACAGATATAAATACATAAATAATATACATTAAATTGTAAATATTTATAGAAATATGTATGAAAACGATACAAATGCTTGTATTCTTTATACAATCATTTGCCCCACTAGGATTCGAACCTAGGACATTTGAGTAGGCGGCAACTTGAAAGCCAGTGTATACCACTACACCACGAGTCGTAAAATTATACTTAACTTGTAGGTAAGTTCCTTCAACCACCATTAAATATTATTATGGTGTAACTAACCTCTTTTTTTTACTGCCGAGACGCTGTTTAGTTACGATGCAAATGCGTTTGTCTCACAGCACGCGTAGAAAAAACAACGGGATCCAGCTCCCGTACCTATATGAACTTCATCTACTTCACTGCTATACTTGCACAGCAAAGAAAGTTCACCTTTACTGTGAAGTATCGATATCGAAAGAGCATATGCGCTCTCCTCGAAGCACGCGCACAGAGAACACCGCGATCCTTCCCCGGTATATGAACTTCTTCAGTTCGACACAAATACTTCAAACAAAATCCACCTATATTAGAAGGAATCCAGTATCATTATCGTATGACAAACCTCTTCTTCCCTGAAATCGGGTCGCTGTTCGGCCACGATGCAAATGCGCAAGTCTCGCAGCACGCTCATAGGGAACACCCAAGATCCTTCCCCGCCGTGAGCATTTCCATACCACACAAAGTTCACCTTTATCGTATACGGGCATCATTATCGTATGACAAACCTCTTCTTCCCCGCAGTCGGGTCGCTGTTCTGCTACGATACAAATGCGCTCGTCTCGAAGCACTCGCACAGAGAACACCGCGATCCTTCCCCGGTATATGAACTTCATCGGCTCCACCGCCAGTACTGTGGCGATTATGTCGTCCATGTTATGTTTGCGGCCAGTCACCGTCATGAGTCCATCGCGAGATCCGCACACGAACACGAGACCTGATGGACGAGGTTGTTGGTCACTATAAATCATATCAGCCGTACGACGGACGCACACTGCTAAGCCTCTAATGAATCTATTATGAATTATGAAAACTATGATGTTACAGACTCTCTACTGAAACAATTAAAACGGTAGTCTTCACCGAAAGTATGGCACCGAACCTTCGGAGTAAAACGCTCGTTGTGTATTACAAGTAACATAAGATAGGTATATTACTTTTGGTGTTTTACGCATTTAATAATTATTTAAGTATTACTCTCAGGGACCTCGATTTAATTGAAGTTTCGTCAAAGTTTTCTAGTATAGTCATTGCTGAAAAAGTTTTAGCTAGTGTCCGACCGAAAGTTCGGTTTCGGTTTCGGCCGAGTTTCGGCGCCATTTTCTGTTTCGGCCAAAATTGGCCGAAAGTTTTTCCGAAACCGAAACTGATTTCGGAAGTTGTCGTGCACGCTCGCCTTACTTCGTATCTCGCACAGCAGTCCATATCCTATATTAAGAAATGCACTTTATTATATTGAGATAAAAGAGATTGATGATTCTTCTAAGTACAAATACAACTGAAGCCACGGCCGAATATTCGGTTTCGGTTTCGGCCGGAAAACCAGTTTCGGTCGGACTCCAGTTTTAGCATCTACTTTAATGTTATAAACTCTAAAAGTTAAATGACAGAGTACGGAAGTAAGAGTGATAGGACACTACTGATGACTTGTGACACCAATGCGAGTGCTAATCGCTGGAATTAACTTTCACGTTACCGAAGATAAGAGTGAAATAACACTGCCCTGTGGTGTTTCTCTCGATAAGTAAAGTTCCCGAGCTGCACTGGATAGCTGACTAGATAAACAGAGTTGAGAGTGATGCGGTAGCCACTAATTAGGTGAACAACATGTGTTTGCTACCTGGGTGCGTTAATAGGTACCTATGAAATTGTCGTTCTGCCGTACTGGCTATTTCAAGTCAAAAAAATTCTTATTTTGCTAAGAATTGTAAGATTTTAATTCAAAAATTATTTTTATTTTTAAAATATGAAATTCTTTTTTGAAAATAGTCATCTGTTTAATGGTTAGCGCTCTGTTTTCAGCGCACTTGTACGTTTTTCGTCATCATGGATCCGTTAAAAAATCGAGTGATTGTGAAGTAAGTATGACGTCGTGGCAACAAAGCGGCAGAAGCAGCACGCAACATTAACGACGTATACGGAGCGAACACTACGGTACTAACGAACGCACCACCCGTTATTGGTTTGCCCGCTTCCGTTCTGGAAAGGACAATGGGCAAAACACACCCAGCTCCGCCAACAATGTAATTAGTATGAATCGATAGATCTATGAAAAACTAACCTATTTTATTATGACATCTAAAAAAATATCCCGGTAGTCAAAAGATATGACACCGTAAAAAAATAAACTGGTAGTCAAAAGAACTTTATAGTACCTTCTGTTTATATTATTAGTAACCATAATAATATGCCGTTTCGTACTATACAACCAGATATACGATAAAGCCTGCCGACCATCCTGCGCTTGCGCTTCTGAGCCACAACAAAACGGTTTATGGAGGTTTAAGGACTTGCAGTTGCAAATAGTCGACTCATCTTACTTCGATGTGCTTGTGCGCTCCCTGTCACTTGATTGATTTTTATCACACGCTTTGGACATTGGAACACGATTATCGGTTTTGTCAATTAGTATGGCTAAACTGGAATCATGTTTTCTCCGAAGCGGGGACAAGTTTGTGTAATTTGTGGTCGCTCTGTTTTACATAAAAGGTAATTTACTATCATGAACAGACTGTTTGGAAAACCTCAACCCATGCGGGGATTTTTGGATTTCCTTTAGCGCGGCAGAATAACTTCCTTGCTTGCACCTTGTGAAGTACTCCCATAATTCTTGAGCCCTCTATGTACGGTCGAACTAACTAAATTAATTCCTTTGTTTCATTAATGTTCGTTCGTTATAGTACTTGCACCTATTTAACTTAAAATAACTAAAGATGCCCGGGATTAAATTTTATGCGCTTTGGCACAGATGATCATGGCTATAACACCTTTCAAACAAATGTAGTTTAAGCCGTGGCGGACGTGGGTGCAAGTCCATACATTTTTGCCCATTGTCCTTTCGGCCTAAGAAATAGACCCCGTGGTCGATCGAAAACTTTAGTCGACAATGACGAATTAAAGGCGATAGTGGAAGCTGATATACTACAGCTGAATTAACAGAGGTATTTATTTTTAAAATCAAAACTATATTGGTCCATTTGCGTCAAATTGCCAAGGTAAAAAAAGCTTTACAAATGGGTGCCCCGCGAATTAAATGATCGCCAGCGCGAAGTACGCATCGAATTGAGTCTTGAACTACTCAGCAGGCACACAAACGAATGCATATTGAATTGCATTTTTACTTGCGACGAAAAATGGATTCTGTTCGACAATTGCTCCTGCACGTCAACACGCGACCTCATACTGCACAGCAGACAGTCTCCAAGTTGTAAGAGCTGGGGTTGGAAGATCTCCGTCATCCATCGAACTCACCAGACCTTGCCCCTACAGAACTTTCAACTTTTTCCAGAATTTGGATATCTTCTTAGTGGGGGGAAAATTCAATAACCGAGAGACAGTTAATACAATTTGTTGCCACAAAACAATATTTTTGAAGAATTTGTTGCCTTCCGTCCATGTGACTTTTTCAAAAATGGCATCAATAAGATATCACTCTGTTGGCAAAAATGCATTGATTGCAAGGGTAATTACTTTGATTGTTAAAAATAAAAAATATAGAAAAAAAGTCCATTAACATGAAAAACGCCACTATGCTTTCGGTTGGCCAGTGCGTAATAGAAATATATTATGATAGAGGTAGTGGGTAGTGTTAATATAGAACAATAAAAAAAACTACTTAAATTAAAAAAAACGACTTTCGCTACTGCATCCAATTTCTATTGTTGATTTCTATTAGTACAATACAACCTTGTACTCTGGGGTACATTTACGAGATAGTTACTTGAAAATTTCAATTTCTTACAGCATACTCAACCAAAGATTATGATTTGAATTCTATGGGTATACACACATAAGTGGGCCGTTATTAATAAGCATAGCCGGACGGTAAAATCTAGTATATGTAAATGAATATTCGAGAAAAGACCACTATGCTTTCACTGATTATAGTCTCTTATCTAGGCAAACCTAAGGAAATAGGAGAATACACTAAACTCACCACCAGGTCCCAGGAATCCCAACAGGCCACTTCTCACGTAATACTCTTCGCCTATAGGCTCCCCGTCCGAGTCCAACGGCCTGACCCTGAACACGGTGTTGGTTAGGCCCGGCAGGCCCCAATATCCGGACCCAGTGGCCCCAGACAGCACGCAGATCTCGCCCACTTCGTCGGTCTTGCAGAGGAACGCGGGACCTTCCATTTTCACCACCACAATCACGCCTGCCATTTGGATCGCGATGTTAAACTTTAACACAGTTGTCATTATGACCATACTACCATTTCAATTTAGTTATGCGAAAGCGTTAGTTATTTTGCCATAAAATATGTAGAATATTCTAATGTATGTTTAAATAAAGTAACTTTGCTAAGGCAATTTGGAAGAGGCTCTGGTTTAGATTTATGAAGTTTTATAATTTCAGCGTTTTATAGAGTAAGATCCCAAGACTGCCAGACCTTAATTATTTCCCGATGGACAAAATATGGATAATCGAGTAGTATTGATGTGTACAATGAACGTAAATATACTCGCTTACTTATGCTGTGGGCCAATTTTCAGGTATCAGGTGGCAGAGGCACGTAAAAATTTTACTCACTTTACTTACAGTCTGGGGCCTGATTTTTACTTATGTTGCAAAGAATATTGTAAACGATTTGAAATGAATACAGCCATATTTATTTATTGCCAGATAATTTAAATGTCGGCAGCAAAAAACATAAACTTTCTTATTTTCTGAATAATTTTGATAATTAGATAATATGAAATTATTTAATTATTTTAAAAGGCTTCCTTAACATTGTTTATAAGATAACTTTAATTAAACTGTTTTAAAGAGGCGCTTATTAACCATGACAGCCTAAACCTTTTCTTTGTAATAAGTGCCTTTGTAAAGAGAGAAAAAAAAATACGTGTCCACTACTTTTGATAATCTACCTGATAGACGAAGGAAAAAAGTTGGTCGCCATCCCTATTCTAAATAATTCTAATAGCCGATCACTGCATCGCTGTAATTGTGGCGCATTATGTAAATCACATGCGACATTTGTAGTAATAAAAGCTCAACGCACAAGCATGACCCACCTAAACACCACTGTAAATAAACTTACTTACTGCCTATATACTCACATGACGGCATGACTTGGCCGCAATCCTGCAGTGTGAGCGATGTGAGGGAGTTTTCGGCATCGACTCGTACGACGCCGTACGACAGTCCAGACATTGATAACACACCCCTCCCTGCAGAGGAGCCCCCTCGCCCCGCCCTTCGCACGCACACAGTCAACGACTCGCTACTACACGCGCAAGGACATATAGCATCCCCACGTACACCTTTGGAAGACAAATCTCCAATGAGATACGCTTGGATCAGTTCTTCCAATCCATATTATACAAGTTTTTGGGAGTAAATTACACTAACTGGAAATAAGACAAGGCGAAGTTCTGAAGTGTGAATGAGACAGAGTTTTTGTAGTTGATGCGTATGACCTCGTACGAAAGATAAATATTTTAGGAATGTGGGAGAAATTAAAATTAAAATCATTTTAAAATGCTTATCTTTCAATCATGTTTCGGAAATGCTTGAATAACATTTGTAAAGTGAATGTTCCATGCCGGCACTTCACTTGGCTATTCGTGTTTGCTATTTGTAATAATATTATCAGCCTGTCTTTATCATACAAAGATTGAAAAGAAATCGGTGAACATGCATAAAAAATATCGTGCGTGCCTTTGAAATTTGAAGGTTTCCCTCGATTTCTCCGGATTCCACCATCAGATCCTGACTTGGTTCCAATGGAACCACCTCGGAAGTGCACTCTTTTGAATAAAAAAATAATTTTGAAAATCGGTCCACAATTGACTGAGAAATCGGTGAACGTACATTAAAAAAAATTATACAGTCGAACATAGGACCTCCTCCTTTTTTGAAGTATGTTAAAAAAGCAAACACGAATAGCTCAGTGAAGCGCCAGCAGTACCGTCTTCTACAATCTCTACTAAACGTATTGTGACCTTGATAGGGTTGCCAGATGGTCGGGAATCGTCTAGATTCTCCCGACATTTTAAGTGATCTCCAGACTCCCGACAAATAACGAAATCTCCCGATAAACGAACAGATGATGCACCATGCACCTTTCATTTACCCTGTGCTGCAGTATTATTTGAAAATAGAACATGAGTTTGGGTTGCACTGTGAAGGAGGGAAAGAACCGCGCGTGAGGAGATGTCCGGTGATAGGGGGAGGAGTAGAGGTTTGTTTCCCCCGACAATAAACCCAAAATCCCGACATTTTAAAATGTTATCTAGATACTTTTAATTCTCGATCTGGCAACCCTAGATCTTGCACAGTGAAGTCGCCTCACCCTTGGTCTGGAACACTGAGAGGAACTGGTCGCACGATGACAGCGACCAAGGATTGGCACCGTCAGCCACGAGCAGCATCCGCAACGAGCTGAGAGAGATCTCCTTGTGGTCGCGCGTCGCCAACAGACCCCAATGTAAATCCCGAGACTTCACTATTGCCACTGACGCCCTACACAAATTTTAGATTTGCTCTACACATAATCCATTTGCATTTGATTGCTGTAGCTAAAACACGTAAAATGAGTCGTACTAAGTTTAGTTTTTATCTAGCTCAATCTCAAAAATACTTAAAAGTACTATATTCATGAGTAATTATAAAATTATCTCCATTTATTATTGGAAAATAATTTATTTTGATCAACTATACATTGCATACCTACAGGTCAATATAAAAAGGGTGTATGTCAATACTAACCTATACTTGGTGATCATATGCATCCATGAGGCCGGGCTGACCTTCATCAGGGCATACGGTATGAATATGACGTGCATGCCGTTGAGAACGCTGGCAAGCACCGCGTGCCAGAGTCCCGTCTCTCGCTTAAAGTCCAACACGCACACCATATGCTCTCCTTCCGTGTAGTTGCAGGCTACAGACAGCATGCGGCAGTGGGCCAACATTGACGACCTACGACAAACGGTCATCATAAAGAATATCCAACAATCACGTCCAATGACAGTCATCATCATGAATGTCAAACAGTGCCGCCCTATGATAAATAGACATTATCAAGAACATCCAACGGGGGCACCCTATGACAAACAGCCTTCACCAGGAACATCCAACAACGCGCTTTGGCAAATAGTGATCAGGAACGCCCTATAACCAGGAGAAACAACCAATAACGCACTGTGGCAAACAGTTATCATCAGGATCAGCTAACAGTGACGCTCTATGACAAAGTCATCAGGAACATCTAACTGTGAAGCCCTATAACCAACGTCATCACCAGAAACATCCAATATAGCTCTATGAAAAACAATCATCATCAGACACATGTAAGAGTGATGCCCTAAGACAAACAATCAGTCATCAGGAATTTTTGGAAGGAATTATTTCTAGTAAACCTTTTCTTTAGATTTAAATCGAGCAGATTATTACTCATTTTTTTTTCATTAGATGTGTATATAGTTATACTAAGTAGTCTGTGGTTAATTCGTAGCTTTCAGATTTCCATTCAATGATATATCACTACAGCATATAAAAAAATCTGCATCTATGTTCACAGTGGCCCATCAATTTAATGTAATCTACAGAAAAAATATTAAAGCCTCCCGATCAAAATCAACTTCCATATAGGAAAAAGCTTGAATAATAACTTCATGTAAGTATCTTGTGGCGCCACCTAAAGAAAAAAGCTTTCTTCACTTTCGAAATTTGCGTGTCTACGAAATCATTTCAAACAGGTTCAGACAGCCTACAGATGACACCACTTGTATATTGGAAGAACTGATTTACAATAATTTTATGAAAGTACAACTGGAAGCAATTTAAATTAAATCCTCTATATTATATAAATTATTGTACGTTGTTTTAAACTTTCACAGTCACTAACATTATAGAAAATTGTTTTTGCGAGTTCCGGAGAATTCGGCACTGTTGTTAGTGCCATAGTGTCACAGCTTTCGAGAAAAATAACTAGGTACTTCGGTCCGCTTTATGGTTAAGTTCTGCTATATTCTGTTCTGGGTTTGATATTAACCTAAGTCATAGAGAACGGACTGCTCGTTCCTGGTCCAAATGTAAAAAAAAAACTAGACAGATAAGTATTAGAGAGACGAAGCGATCTTGCGGGCAATAACTTATACATCAATGGGCAAACTTTTTCCTTATCGTGCCAATATTTACTATCAGAATCTATGGCATGTCAACATTCTGCTGAAGCCACCTACGATATTTAAATCAAATTGAAAAATAAAACTCAGTATCGAATGACCCTCACCCTGCAGCCGGGGGGTAAATTCGAAAGGTAGCGGTTCGGCAGCGGGGTGGTCCTTGCCGGAACATATAAATAAAATTTACTTTTTGGTTAAAACCTTTAACTTTTATGAGAGCCGTAGTTTGCCCTTCACTGGGTGACTAGACCATAGATTTCACTCTTTCTAAAGAATAGTCGATTTCATACTAGTGTCGCTCAATCCATCTCTGTATATGTCTATGATGTAACAAATCTCCAAAATACAGCGGTTAAATACGTAAGCTCAACAGATGGCGTAAGTAACTTTTTTCTAAACAGTTTGTATAAAATTACATAGGTATTGTTTTTTAACCTTTTTGAGTGGCATGTTTCTTCTAACAGTGAACCGTGTCTTGGTGGTTATGGTATTCGTAAGTAAAAGAAGTGATGGAGGATAATAAAGGATAAACTTCGTAATTAAGAATGACTTTGGTTAGGGAAAGTATAATCATTCCTTACGTATTTTCAGTGACATTATGTAGGTACGACATCCCCAAGTGTCCACTTATAAATCTCGGACCAACTTAACAAACATTTCGCGGTAATGTCAGTAACGTGACGTAGTAATATAATGTCAATAGTTATTCCCCAGATAATGATAAATGTCAGGTAACAAAATGGAGATCAAATTTATAGGCGCTGCTATACCAAAATCAATATTATGAAATAATGACGGACGTGGAAATGGATTAAATTATGTGGTGGGAAACTGCCTTTCCGATATTATAGTTAGTTTATGTATGGAAGACTTCCACAACACTTTATTTTTACACAGTGATTTTTTATTATCAATTTTATTCAGCTTAAGCGTAATGAACTTTGATGCTCTTAATAATATATAAGCTAAAATCGGCTATACGCGTGAATATTCGAAAATGTAATGAGCAATAGTGTTATACTATAAATGTAAATTATAGTGTAACACTATTGCTCATTTGTATGTTTTCCAAAGCGGTAAAATTAAAAGTCCTTTTTAAAATGAATATATTAAACAAAGGTGTCCGTTAAAATCTAATGACTGTAAAATAAAGTATAAATCACGCCAAGAATCACCGTATATGTCAATATTTTTTGTACATTTGGGCCAATTTGAGCAATCTCCTTTAGGAAAACTAATTATGGTTGGGAACACCGAAGGCAAAAGATCGCACGGTCGTTCTCCAACAAGATGGACCTACCAAATCAAAGATTTATCCTAATTTTATACAGTGGTAAGAGAGGCGCTGGACAGAAACTGGTGGCAGCAGATCGTCTGCTCCAGATGCAACCCTGACGCTGACAGCGATCCATAGACATGAGGGACTGACCCCCAGAAAGAGAGATTCGAAATAAAGTTTATTTCAATTGGCTAAAATCTACTGTATCCTTGAAGACAACAGCTCATAGGTTTCGATCCGGGCGTGTTCCAGCAAACAAATTCGGGTATATTGAGAAGAAAGTTGACTATTCTAATTGTACGGATTGTGGAAAAACTGACGATTCATTACATATTCCATCAACAAATATCCAACCTTTCGGGACCTAAGAGACCAATTAGTTGAGGATTTCAAAATCAATAAACAAGATGTGATGGGATATTCCATTGCTTTCTTTCAGAGCTGACCTCCAAAACAGCTTTATTAATTTTTAATTCGCAGCAAAAACTTAATTTATTAAATATATGTGAATTTTCGGAAACATTAACACCAATTACTAATAACCCTCGAAAATGTATTTTTTTTAACAACTACTGCAATGTCGACGATGCGCTAGAGAAAACGGTTCAAATTTGTATGGTATTCAGTTTCCGACAGACTGCAAAGTTTTATAACACGTAGTGCACTTAATTGTAAGTCGTTTGACCAAAAGCTAGATATTTTTTATTCCCTTTTTTAATAATAATAATTATATTTTTTAATATTCATTTATTTATTGGCACGTGGAAAGTTTATTTATCTACTGTTTGTTGCCAAAGTGTCAAATACATTCTATTCAATAGGTAACTAAAGCACTGATAACACAGGCCCACAAAAAAAAGTACCCTGCGCGAAAGACCAGACTACCTGAACTTTATGTTTTCGGGATCGCTGAGTCCAAATATGGTGCCAGAATAGCGAAGTTGGTTAGTCTTTCGCGCAGGGTACTTTTTTTTGTGGGCCTGTGTAATTATTCTGATCATCGCCCATTCTATTATTAACATTTGACATATTGATTTAGTATAGATTATAAGCTGCCACAGATTAAAAATATGACGTGATTTATGACTAGTTTGCCAGAATTCTTACGAAATTGTTAAATTTTCAAAATAAAGAATTGAAATTAATCGGTAAAAATAAAAAAAAATATTATCTGTTCATGTTATTGTATAAGTTAAGATTTGAAATGATATCGCCGCCGGTAACCAACTACCACTTTTAAACAGTCTACTTTTGCGTACAGCCAGCGCAGTAGAACGTCATCTACGCATTTTTGTCAACAAACCCTAGCACACTTGAACTCAAACTTAATTGAACGTCGAATAATGTTACTGAATAATACGGCAGGACCAAGCAGAGAGCAAGACATTTAGCGGCTCACACTAGAGAGCGAAAAGCGAGTGTTCGGCTAACTCGGTGGTGAGAAATGAATTGATCATATAAAACGATTTTATTCTATTTGTTGCAAATGAACATGAAAACATAGTTTTCAGAAGTTTTGCAGTCTCTTCAATAGTAAACATACACCTGTAAAATAAATACAAACAAGCTGTGAAATGTTGAGAAACAATAAATATTTGACAAAATTTGACAAGCGAGAATTGTTTGCTGTATGATGAAGATGTCGTCGCTGCAGTCAAGATACGTTAGGGCGTGTACACATAGCGATCAGTTTTATAGGTCCTTTATTTGATGGCGTATGTAGTTGTATGAGCGAGTTCACATTAAATACTGATCCGCTTTATCGGAACTAAACCGCGGGAAGCTTTGCACGGGGCCAGGCGAGGATGCGTGGGGTGCGGTGTGCTACACACCGGTGCCAATGTGAATATTAAATTCCGTAGCGACGGATCCATTACAAATGATCCTGTAAAAACGTACGTTTTATGTGAACTCGTACTTCCTTAGTCACAACTTGTTCTCTAAGATCGGATATAATTATGTAGTTTGTATTTAATAGGAGATTGTAGCATGTTTTTTTTTTGTTGCATCTTCTTTTCAATTCTTTGGTCACTGATATATTTATTGTGGGCAGGATATTGAAGATATAATGTAAAAAAAATGAAAGGAATGTTATCTCAAAATTATATTTTTGTGTAACAAACATTTTACTTAATACACAGCCGTTTGTGATGGAACTCTGCACTCTGCCTACGTATGCGGTGTCTGCCTTATACTAATCTCTGCATCTTCGGTGGAGAAACTCCAAGCTCAAACTTAAAAATAATTTATTCAGTTCAGGCTGTTACAAGCACTCGTCAATGTCTAGAAGCTACGCCTTCTGTTCGTATATCTGCGGCGGAAGACTTTGTACTGAGAGTGGAATAGTTTGCTGTGCCTTGTTTATAAAGCCACAAGTTGTAATTCAGCAACGACTGAGCTCAAGTAGTCGTTACAGCAACTATTGCTTCCGCGTCAGCTACCTTCGTAATAGGCTATTTGACTGTATGAAAAATAAAGTTTCAATTGTTGGCACCTGTATTTAAAATGAATATTAGCAGCGAATTTACTATTATGAGAGGACAAATAATTATATCTTTTCTAAAAATTCATTAAATTGTTTTTTTTGGTCTATGGTCACGTGACTAAAAACGCCTCGGACTGGCGAAGACTAAAATAACTTCCGGTCAAAGTGACATTACATTTTTATTTGATTTTTTATTTTTATTTTATTTTTATTTGGGAAACAAACAATATTTTATTACATTTAGGTAAATATAGATTAACATACATCAACAAAGTTTCCACTAACAATTAGTACAGTTATGAGCAGCTGTGTATTTAATAAAAAATCATATAAAGTTAAATTAAATACGACATTAATTGAATTGAATTAACATTGTATCGTTTGACTGTCATTGTTGTCAGTCGTGTGACGTTACATACCAGTGAGACGTCTTAATGCCTAGAGAAACGTTATCACGGCAAGCTGAAAATGGAACTTTCGATTTAAAGAAAATTTTACTAGAAAAAATTCCACGCGGACCAGGCAGCAGCAGCAGACGGGACTCGAACCCGCACCGCACCGCTATCCGCGCGAAGGCACTGACCATTACTACCTACCGCAGCCTTAATTGTCCGTGTCGAATTTTCTTTAGTATTTCTTAGGCTGCATGGCTAAGTTTAGATTAAAACACACATGTAGCAGTAAAATGCCTAATTTTTTTTGTTACTGAAATACAGAAGAGATTGATGAATATTTTTTATGAATACCAAAAACATATAATGCGATTCAAATAAGAATAGGAAAGCCAATGACCTCCATCTGTCAAATGTCACTTTTAAAGTACAATTTGCAAAAAAAATCTCGGAACACTTTTTTAGCACTCAACTAATAGAGCTAACTCAGCTCTAGAATAAAAATCAAACATTTTTAAACAAACAATAAAAAATATTGATAATTAATATTGGTTGATACTTTTTTTCATTTATTGAGCTTTGGCTATGTATGGTTGATAACCTAAATCGTCAACCAAATGTCACTTTATGATGTGTTTAGAAACTCGATTTAAAACTTTCGTTTACATATAGGATACATGTCCGTATGTGACCTGCATGATTATTCATAACTACTCCGGCGGTAATGCAGAGATGAGCGGAATTGAAGAGCTAGATTCTAATTAATGTTTTTTCTCACACAGTCATAATAAAGAAATATTATTTAAAATTGGTTGTTTTTCCCTCAATCTTAGTAAATTAATTTTATTATAAGATCTGATGTTTTTTCTCACTTAATCTCAGTAAATAAGTTTTATTAAATAGAATTTTTTTTTGCTCACTCTACTATTTGCTTTGAATTGACAACTATGATGTCAAAATATGGCGCCCAGTCGGTCCTATTCTTAGTTGAATCGCATTATACAAAAGTAACGTGAGATGGTTTCAAATATCCTATTTACAGTCTTACAAAAAAATTAAGTAACCAAACTGCTGAATCCTTTATTTGGAAGACCTTTTTGTCGCCACCTGTCTGTAAAATGCCAGCTTACCTGGTGACAATGACGCCCATAGCAGACCCGTCGGCCGCAGACGTATGTTCTATATGGGCAGGGCTGTCGTCTGCGGGACGCGGGGGTGGGATCCAGTCTCGAGGCGGTCGCGGCAACTTCTCCGTGGAGACCCATTGGAGGGACGGCCAGCCACGAAACGATACCACGTCACCGGACGAAGTTTTCGGTAGACCTGAGGAAGCTCAAGCTGTTATACATATCTTGGACAGACCTACAGACCTCTCCCACTAGATTCTGCCTCACTCATATTTTTGTTTGAAATCTAGATTTAGAAGTGTGGAGGCCCTGGGACCTCTTGATTTTATGCCTGTTGTGGTGCCCCTCTCTTGTGGGGGGGGCGGGGGCGTACGGATAATTTTGGGGGTGGGCACCCGCTTGAAACCGACATAACCGACCTGAGATCCGACGGAAAGATGAGGTTTCATAGATAGAGAAATATAAATAAAAACATAACTATAATTGCTATTTCTTCTTTCAAATGTTTTTTTCTAGTAAACTTTTCTTTAGATTTAAACATCTAGCAGTTAAATGCTTAAAAATAAATAAAAACATAACTATAATTGCTATTTCTTTTTTCAAATGTTTAATACTTGAAAAAGTATTCTGTTGACATTGTGGGTAACCTACAATGCGAAGAGATGGCGCTGCCTTGCAGTTTAAGACTAGGAAAATTTCGACGCGGCCAATAGGGCCGTGGTAGCATAATGGTCAGTGCATTCGCCCGGATTGCGAAATCCATTTTGTGAGATATCCGCCTTCTTTAAATATTTTCGTCGTTAACATTAAAACGTTTAGCCCTACAGAAATCCACTTATGCTTAAATTAAAGCTAAATGATTACTTTACGAATTCATCTTAACGATTTTTTTGTAGGATGAGTATTTTAATCGATAATCTGGATGCGGAATCTGGTGTCTATTAGTCCTAAAGATTTGAAGTGCCATGCATATTGTAGAGGATTTTGTATTTTTTTTAAAGTAGACAGTGACTTTTACGATAGGATTTAGCTTTCAAAAGTTAAAAGCGAGAAGCCGGATAAAAACCGAACATTTTAATGTTTTTGGAACACCTCGCAGGAGGTAGCACAGTTCTTTTGAAGCTGCTAATTTGTTTCTACATAATTGCTAACTATCCTGTCAAAATACCAAAAAATCAGTAAATTGGAATTCATTGCAACCTACAAGTCTTATATGACTGGCCTACTTATGGGAAAGTAAAATATTCCTGTAGCTTTTGTACATATATTTTTCCCATTTATTTCATCCAGAAAATATATCACTTGTATACAAAATATTATCTTTTAGCCAAAGTCAAAATCAATCTACAATTGAAAACAATATATGAAAATACAAATAATACAAATTATATGAAAAATGTAAAATAATGTTATCTTCGACTGATAGGCGATTTTGTTTTGAGTACAGCTGAAATTCTGATTAAACAAGTGCTGTTTTACACGTGTTCAAATAAGATTAACGAATTGTATCACAATTTGTACATAATAATAAATAAAAATTTATTACATTTAAAGTTTACGAATGTTACGCAGAGCTAGGGAAGGGAATAGGGAATTCGCCAATTAGGCAACGACCTCGATGAACATGAACAACATCAAGTGCACGAGTAAATAAAAATAAATTGATTTTTTTAGACCTTCCGCTGCCGCTCGATATATTTGGCGCAGTCGGTAGGATACCCACGGGTTATTTAGAGTAGATTTATCCTATTTTATCAAACCCTAAGCCGCCCGAGTGGCTATCGCGCCGCGAACCGGGTATTCCGAATCTACTACGGGCTGCAGCAGGAGGGAATCCAATCATCGATTCAACTAGAAAAAGATACCAGACAATGCTGTAAGTACCTTGTCTCTTTCAAGTAGTGCTTTCCTTGTGTCCTAGTATATTCATATATTTTTAGTTTATTTTATGTTAGGATTGTCCTGTTAGTCTTATACGTATATAATTTTCTTATAGTGTTTTATACATAGTGTTACTTTTAATCTGACAAAATTTTTCATCCACGAGCTTCCCGTGATAATAGAAATTTAGGAAATAGTAGGAGTAGTTACATGGACGGAATTAGAAATATAGATCAGGATCAGAATCAGCACCAGGAACCCGAATATTCAGTCATGGCTAGCGACCCCATAGATATTATTTTCAAATCACTGAGGCTGGTGCCCGAATTTGACGGCAACCCCCATGTACTAACACGTTTCATTAATATTTGCGACCAGTTGGTCATCGCTCATTTCAAAGTGACTGTAGGTAACGAATTAAACAATTTGGCTCTTATTAACGGCATTTTGAACAAAATAACAGGTCCAGCTAGACTTATTAACTCTAGTGGTATTCCCGAAAATTGGGACGGTATTCGAACCGCATTAATAAACAATTTCGCAGACCATCGGGACGAAACTGCCCTGAATAATGATCTGTCTATGCAAACCCAGGGGTCAAGTACCCCACAGGAGTTTTATGAGCGATGTCAAAATTTGTGTAGCACTATAATGACTTATGTTACTCTTCATGAGAACGTTAGTACTACAATCGAGGCGAAACGTACGCTTTATAAGAAACTTACTCTACAAGCGTATCTCCGCGGATTAAAGGACCCCTTAGGATGTAGAGTCAGGTGTATGCGCCCCGCTACTATAGAACAGGCTCTCGAATTTGTGCAAGACGAGCTTAACACACTTTACATGCAGGAACGTAACGAAGGGTCCAGTAGAAAAGAATATCAGCCTCAAGCCCCTAGGAGTAGTTTCAACTTACCGTTAAATAACTTTGCCAGACATCAAATGATGAATCTTCCTGGACCGTCCAGGCCTCCACCTATGCACCACCAGCAAATGCAAGGTTGGAAACCGAATTGGCAACAAAATCAACCACATGGGCCCAGTAGAACTCAGCAGATGTTTAGGGCTCCACCACCAAATTACAATCCCCAGAGTAACGTTTTTAGAATGCCTAATAGAACCCCGCAGCAACAAAATTTTAAATTCGGTGCCCCGCGTCCAATAAGTGGCGTTAGCCACTTTGTATCAAAGCCATTACCCCCTTCAGGGCACGATTGGTGGAAATTCGGAAACCCACCGCCTAGCAACTACTTTAAGAGCCGCGAAGTAAATTTTAACGAATTCAATTACGACTATAATCCTTATTATGAATATGACTATAGCCACGTTGATCACTATTATCCCGAATATAATAATTATGATCAGTATAACGAATACTGTAGGACGGAAGAACCGTCATGGTTTGAGAGTGAAAGTGGTGGTCACCCAGTAGAGGAAGTTGAATAACAGCCTCCCGTGTCTGACCAGGAAAATTTTCACAAAATGTCCAAGTCAGACACACTAAAATAGAGGTAAACTTTCACATTAAAGACAACTTGGCTATATTCAGATAAGCGAGCCCCCATTGAAATTTTTAATTGACACAGGAGCAAATCAATCCTTTATTAGCCCGCAAGCTGTTCAAAATATTTTAGCCATATACCGTTGAATTACGAACCCTTCCAAGTTACTAATGTTCACGCCACCAGTAAAAACGACCATTCAATCACTCTACCTTGTTTCCCTGAATTTAAGGAACCGGGAGACATTACATTATACATTTACGATTTTCACAACTACTTTCATGGTTTGTTAGGGTTTGATTTACTCGACGTGTGGAAGTCTAACATTAACTTAAAAAATAAGTTCCTTATTACTCGCAGTGCAACGATACCCATAGAAATGTATGACTCACGTAATGCCAATCTATATGAAGAAATTATTCCCGCTAATACTTCAAAACTAATTCGTATACCTATAAATAGTCAAGATGGGGAAGTACTTGTGAATGATCAAACTATATGTAATTGCCTAATTTCCGAATGTTTAACTCAAGTTAAAAATAATAGAGGCTGGGTAGAAGTCACAAATTCCTCCCCTAACGACATCATATTTTCATGGATCGTCCTGCATCTGCAGAGATATTTAATATACAACTTGAGAGTACCGATATTTCACCTGACCGCGTTAACGAAGTTTTATCACGTCTCCGTACCGATCATCTGAATGCTGAAGAGATAGCTAATTTACGTCACCTTTGTGCAAATTATGCGGATGTGTTTTACCTTGAGGGTGAACCTTTAACCTTCACCAACAAGATAAAGCACAAAATAAGAACCACAGATGAAATGCCGGTACACACTAAAAGCTATCGCTATCCTTACGTCCATCGACAAGAAGTCCGAGACAAAATCGAAAAGATGCTTACGCAAAACATTATAAGACCCTCGGAATCTGCATGGAGCTCCCCTATTTGGGTAGTACCCAAAAAGGCGGATGCATCAGGCAAGGTTAAATGGCGGCTTGTCGTGGACTTCAGGAAAGTGAACGAGAAGACTATTGATGACAAATACCCAATCCCGAACATCACAGATGTTTTGGACAAATTGGGTAAGTGTCAATACTTCACTACCCTCGATTTGGCCAGTGGATTTTACCAAGTAGAGATGGACCCTGTAGACATACCCAAGACTGCGTTTAATGTAGAGAATGGCCACTACGAATTCTTGAGGGTGCCCATGGGCTTGAAGAATTCTCCATCAACCTTTCAAAGGGTGATGGATAATGTCTTGAGGGGCCTCCAGAACGAAGTGTGCCTGGTATACCTTGATGATATCGTGGTATATAGTACTTCCGTGCAGGAACACATGGTCAATCTCGAAAAGGTGTTTAAGAAACTACGGGAATCCAACTTTAAAATACAGATGGATAAATCTGAATTTTTAAAGTTGGAGACCGATTTTCTGGGTCATGTCATCTGTAAAGATGGTGTTAAACCAAACCCTAGTAAAATTGCTGCTATTGAAAAATATCCACTGCCCAAAACGACCACGGAGATCAAACGTTTCCTCGGTTTGCTAGGTTATTACCGAAAGTTTATTCCGAATTTCGCTAAGTTAACCAAACCTCTTACACAATGCTTAAAAAAGGGTGTCAAAATAACTTTAGATGAAAAATATATCACTTGTTTCGATCATTGCAAAACCCTATTGACCAACGATCCCATCCTCCAATATCCGGATTTTTCTAGAGAATTTGTTAACCACTGATGCCTCAAATGTAGCTATAGGTGCTGTCTTATCCCAGGGTCCCATAGGCTCCGACAAGCCCATTGCG